TTTTTTTTATTTTCAATTTCCAGTTATATAAATTTTGATAGTTGGTGGTGTTCAGATCTTCACCTCTCTGTTCAATGTTAGTTTACTTTTGTTTTCAGCCTGATGTCTTTTATAAAGTTTTGTGCATTTTCCCACTGTAACTTCTTTTTTTTCGACACAGTGTCTTATTCCGTGCCTAATTCTTCTGTCAGATCTTGAGGTTTTCTAATGAACTGGAAATAAGTTTAGCGAACAGTGAGAGTTCTCTAATGCTCAGTTCTTTTCGTATTTCACTGGTTTGGTTATTTAAGCATTAATCGATGGATCTGAATCACGGGGTTACATCTGCTTGAAAAGTCCACGTATTTCCATAGTTTTCGTTCTTTGGTATAAAAATTTTTTATTGTCGTTGTTTTGGGCAAAGTTTCAAAATAGTTTAGAATTGGTTGCTGCTTTGCATTTAGGGATCAGGTTATTTTTCTACAGTCAGTTTCGGATTTGGAATGTGGTTTTGACGTAGAAACGGTTTTTTGAGTGGTGGTTTGATGGTTTTTGAACCAAGTTGAAGTTGCTTGAGACTCATTCTTTTGCTTTTTGCTTGCGCACTGCTGAAGGGAGGTGTAAGGTACACTCTGGACTGCGAAGAGGGGTTTCTCCGGGCCTGCACTTGGGAAATTTATACCGTCTTGATGCTGTTTTGGAGGACAGTAGGACAAAGTTTGAAAGTAGTCGGGATTGAAGTCATGCTTTATAAGAATTGCCAACTTAAACATGAACGTTCTTGAGGGTACGAGTTAAGGGGTTGAAGTTTATCGTAAAGCTTCGTTTTTGAGAAGTGTAGAGAAGGAATTCAAGGGGAAGAGAGTACAGTACTTGTCTGTACCTTTTAATTAAATGAACGAAATTTTTGAGACGATTCTTCGCTTGTAAAGAGCTGGAGGTGCATTTATCCATGAGTATTGCTTCTACAAAGGACTCCTTTCTAAAGTTCTGTTCGTTACTTGTTGTCTGTGTCAAAGAATCAGTTGGCAAAACGTGTAAAAGTGAAACGTAGAAGATATTATAAGTGTGCAGTTTCAGGCGTGATACTACTAGTGAAAGTAATTGTGAGGTAATGCACTACTATTTTTATCTTAGCGATGAATAAACAGAGAAGTAAAATTTTTTAACTGATGGTAAACATTAAACAATAACTACTACTCCAAAAATTACAAGTAAGTGTTGTGAACAATTGTTTGTTATAATAACAGGCACGTATAGGTTGCGGGCTCAATAGATGAAGGTTTAGGCTTGACGCTTACATAATTATCTGAGATTTTTTCCTCCGTAGGTGATTTGTGCTTTTTGTAGTTTGATTGTGAGTAACAGTGCCTGGAAATCGGTGACCGTTAAAACAGAATGGTGGTTGAGCAAGTGAGATATATAAAAGACCAGTTCCGTTAAGTCGGAAGCGACTCAGTATTTTGGTCTCATGATTCTAAAAGTCAACAGTTTCAGCAGACTTGACCGGTAGGGTTTACAGTATGAGCGTTTCATCACCGCCCGGTGGACTTCTAGGGTGATTGGTTTTTGGGGTTTCAGCCTGTCATGCTAATTTCCTTACGAATTGTCTTAAGACTCGTCCCTTCTCAATTTCCTCTATGCTCCGCACAGTTTCCACCTTTAAAATTTCTTGGTGACACCACTTTGAAAGTTCACTTACTTTTCGTGTTCTGCTTACCTCTTTTTATGGCCATCTGAAGTATTATTTAAATATTCGACATTTTCCATCCAAATTCTTAAGCGGTCTCAATGCATCACTGCAAAGCAGTAAAACAACATCACGTAATTTTCACTAAAAATTGTTATTCTAAACCAGTTCCTTTGATTATAAAATGAACAGTTATTACTTCTTGAAACGGGCTTTCTGTTTTGAAGCCGCGGTAAAATTTTAAAGACTTAAACCACATGAAAAGTAGATGAAGCAGTTTTTGATCACTGAATTTGAAAAAGTTTATAAACGGAAAGTTTTAGGAGACTGTAAGCACACTAGTAACTAATTTTTGGTGCCTTTCGTGGCTCTTACTCTGGTGAAAGTTTCCGCACTGCAGCGGGGTTGCTGGTCTGGTAATTTCCGCGGATGTTCTACTACCTTGTAGGATGGGAAATCTCACGTGAAATGTGGCTTTTGGAAAAAGTCGTCGAGATGGCTCCTTTTTTTTGTGTCCTATGCATTTGTAAAGTCTACAAAGTTATGTATTTCAATTTTTCCTACAGAAACTTGTGCGGAACATATCATATAAGAATTAAAGGAAGTAGGCTTTTTGTATGAAATGAGGAATATTTGACTATTTGAACAGCTGACAAAGTTAAAAGCTGTCAGCGGTATCGTGATCTTACAAAAATCTGAAGCAGTTTGGACTTTTGTCGCAAATGAACATGTTCAGGTTCTCTAATCAGCTTTTTAAATTAAGGCAAAAGTTTGCTATCTTAAAAACCCTTTAAAAAATATAAAGAACCAATCTTTTAAAAGCTCACCGAAGGACGAAAGTACAACTATACAGCTGCTAACATCGGTATATTAAAGTGCCGATTGAAATGCTTTACTATTGATGGGAAAAAGAGGAGACTAAATGGGTCAGGAAACTTTACTTCAATTTCAACCTACTCGTCTGGCTTATCCAATGCTAAATACTGTCTTTTTTAAAGTTTTAAGCCCCACTGAGGGTAATCGCCTTTTCGCCATTGAATATTAAAAAAGTAGAAATCACAATGGCAGTAACTTTGGTTGAAATGGTTGTGCTTGAAAACTGTTATAATCACTTACTTTTATTATACTGATTTTTTTGAATAATTTTTAAAGTGAGGCATTTGTTTTATCTATGTTCTAACTAGGATTTAGGCGGAATATTATGAGAAGTGTGCCATTTGTGAACTGGGAAGGAAAGTACAGGAGAAGGATACAGTTAGGCAGGGTTTTCTGTAACTGGAGAAAATGTAGTAATTAAAGAGCGATTTAGAGGAGTTTCAGCAAATGCAGATACAACGACTTACTGTCCGCTTTGATTACTTTCATTTCTGCTCTGCTTTTTAGTTTGAGAACCATATCAACATATCAAACGAACTTTAAAAAAAGGTCAAGAAAGGAAAGAAAATTTCTCGAAGAAAGACTAGAAGAACACCAATTGTTAATTATTTTAAACTGGAGACTGCAAATTAACACAGTAAAACCTGCAGGATAAAACTTTTGTACATTAACATAATTAGGATTAGAAGAATTACGACTATGAGATAACTAGACTTCCTAAGAAAGAAAGCAAAAACTACTTGTCTTCTTCAAATACCTCTTTTGCTTTTCCCGTTCCTCTATACAGCACTCACATAAACATGCCCTCCCTTTGGTACAGGTGGAACGTTTATAGGATCTGCCACAGTTCTCGCACTTCACAGTGTCAATATTGTATCCAAGCTTGTCAAAAGCTTTATCAAGGACTGTTTTAGTTATCCACAAGCTAAAACACTGTCCGACAGCTGCACCTACTGCAGATCCTATGATCGATCCAGGCCCTGGGAGGATTGTTGAACCAATTGTAACTCCTAAACGCAACCCATAGAAACAGTTTGCGACACCCGGATAAAAATTACCTGCAGCTTCCGAAAAGGACCTTGTAAATAAACCAGTAGCAACAGACGCAGCGATCGTAACCATGTTCCTAGTCGTGCCATTTTTAATGTCATTATATGCAGCATTAATAAACCTTGCAGTAAGTATCGTATATGGCACAGCCTTTCCTATTGCTTTCTAAACTAAGTGTGCTAAAAAGCTTTCATTGTACTGTTCTTACATTACTACGACATTGATTTCACCTATCAACTGTAATTTATTACTTAAGTGTTACAGTGACAGCTTACTGATATCTGTTCGGCTTCCCCAGACGTTATTGTGGGACGCAGGCTGGGGTCATCAACCAACGGCTGGAGGCACTTTTGGTCAGAAAAGATTAATTTGGAGCCGCTTGCAACAGCATTTTGTTTGCAATACTCATAAAACAACCTGAAATTGTAAGCTTGTTTTAAACTTCAAAGAACCAAAATAAAGTCTTTTGTGATTGCTAACACAGTTTTTTTTACGGTTTGGATTTACTTTGTTTGCAGAGCAAGCTTAAGAGGTTGAAAAATATATATATATTAAACTTGAAAGCGAAATATTAGTGATATTTATCATTGTTATTATTTGCTTCTGATGTTACAGCTATTATGCTCAGCGCTACCTCTTCCCCTTACCGAACACTCTCGTCTCTCTTTTTTTTTTTACACCTCTGTTTCTTTCAGTTTCACTGCTTTGTTCTATATTTGTAGTTTTGTTCACCTCATTGAACATTTTAAGCTAATGTTGTATTGCTGCAATACAAACTGTTTTTTATGACTTCATAACCTGACTCCAGTTTAGTATTCTTGCTTAAAATAAAGCTTCTTACAATTGACAGAAGGGCATAAACAGAAAGCTAAAAAACCTGTATCAGAAGTGTAAAATCCTGCACTATAAGACTTAAAACAGGGAAGAAAATCAGCTAAGGCTAATTTTCTCGAACAGAAACCATGCCTTCAGAGGTTAACCTTCCACTGGTGAAAAAGGAGGAAGCTACTGCAGATAATTCTCTGCAGCAAGGAGTTAAAAAGTGAAACTGGATTCTCAACGGCAGACTTTTACAGAGGTGCAATTTCATCGTATTTTCTCGTAATAGCTAGCAAAAAAAATAAAGTTTATCTGAGCATCAATTGAGAAGGAACTCTAGCAATTTATTGCTCACAAGTTCTCACAATTGAGAGTAAATTTTTGCAGCTACTGGATGCGTGATGGAGAAGGTTTCGCAATCAGTAAGCAACTTAGCTCACGAAAAAGCTGAAAACACTTTGCTTTGATGAGGGGTTATCTAGTCATAGTATCCTTGTGATCTGCAGCTTCTGCCTGGCAAACAGGGCCTTAATCGCTTATCGCAAAAAGCTACCTCTTAATAACAGTAAAAACCCGACCCAAGAAAGAATAATTATGGTATTATAGAAAGGCAACGTAGTACACATTTCCACTGCAGGGAAGATATGTCCATTCGACACTTTCTTTAGGAATAAATTATCGACTATTTTACTCTTAACTTTTGAATATTATGCAGATAACGCGAAAGGACTTTCCTGCCCATGCCGATTTTTGAGGACTCACTCTTTGTCTGCGACTTACAGGATTTCTCAGGTTTCTTTATCGGCGAGTCATTCTTCCCAACGGGTTGCTGTACTTGAGCCATCTACAACATCTTCAAGGCTTTCAGCTATAATTACAAAACTTCTTAATCCACTAAATGCTTTAAGATTTAAAAACCACCCAAAAACCAAGCTCCAAACTAATCCTCAAAGAGGCCTTCTTACTGCAGTGGTTTCATTTGTACCCTTATAAAATTCTTATTTACAGCTTGTTATAAAGGAGCGCGGTTTAAGAAGGCATGGGAACATATTTTGGGGAAACGGAGATTAACTGTCAAAATAAACTGTTTTGAGATTTCTATAGCACAAAAAAATATAGTAGTCATAAAAATGACCTAAAATATCTGGCTATGTTTTAGCCAATTTGCAAGAAAGTGTGCATACACAAGCTCAAGAAAATTCATCAAGTAAAGAGACGTTGTTCGGGGTTAGAGTTCAAAGAACAGCCTACATGTTGAAATAATTGTACAATATCAGAATAATCAAAGGTATAAAACCCACTTAAAAAAACATTCAATGCTCTCTTCAAAATCTTCAATCCACTTCTTTGGTGATATAACAGCAATGTTTTTTAGGCTCTCCTCAAATTTTTCTGAAGCTTCAGTTATCTTTTCTCGATGGAGTTTCTCCAACACCTCTATGCTGACACCTTTTTCCAAACTCTGAATTGTAAAGAGAAGGATAATTTGCAGAAGAGGTTCTCGTAGACAATGAAGAAGTGGCACTTTTGCAAGAAAAACCACCTCTTTTATTCCTTCGAAATAAAAATTCTTGTAACCGATATATGCAGATATAATTTCTATAAGCTTCGATACATCTTCACGTAAAATGTGTTCGATTTTAATGCACTTAAGCTGCAAAAAAAAAAATGATAAAAGCAGTAAGACCACATCAACTTATCATTAGAGATTTTCGATTCGAGGTAGAAGCTCCTTAAAGTTCTGAAAAAAATTCACAGTCCCGTCCTGCCGTCATGTCATTGTAACAAAAAAAACTTTTTAAAGACTGCAAAAAAAAACCAATTTAAAAAACCTCAATCCAGTTTTCACAGTTGCGAATCACTAGCGAGTAATTGATACCATGTAAAACACGCTTTACTTTACCATTAGTTTTAGCTCTCTTCTTTTTATGCAAATTCCTTAGTTTGTTCTCGTCAATCCCCTCAACGGAGCTCTAGAATTTGAGCCAATTAAACAGTTATGCATCATATTTATATTTATCACCACTAACAACGATGACATCAAAACTTTACCAGCTTATTAAGCCTTTCGAGATTCGCGGCTACTCCATCTACTCCGTGTTGTTCTAGTTCCTAAAAAAGAACTATAATTTTTTAAAAACAGTTACAACTTTTACTTGAGAAGTTTACGACGCTTGCAGAAATCATTATAGTTTAAAACTTAACGATAACTTGACTTTTGAAATGTAAGATTCAACAAAAGATAATAATGTTGAAAGAAATATTATGACATTTTTCGTAGCGAAAAGATGTGTAAAATGTACTGAAAACTAGTTTTTTGCAAGACATTATAACCACAAACTAAAATGTGTGAAGAACAGGAGTTTGTTAGATGTTTAAAAGCTATTTGGTGCCTCGACGTTTCCACAGGTTCTGCTAAGCATCTCGTGTCTTCATGATGCAGCAAGTAAATATTTATTATCACAAACAATTAATACCTTTATGATTAGCACCTAGAGGGCAAAGAAATACCTCAAACATTTTTCTAATGCATGTATTGAGGCGTTTCCTGTATATTTCCGAATATTGTGGTGGTGGTGAAATTGTACCAGGAGAGATTTCAGAGTGTGCAGCCTGCAATTTTAAATTTTCTATATAATTCAGACAAAAAACCTAGATTTTAATGTAACAGTCACTGCATAAAGTGAGCATTGTGGAATCAAACCAAAATATACTCTCCTCTAACCTAAACATTGAAGTTCACAAAAAGTAATTTCTGGCAGATGTCTGACAAAACATTCCTTTTGCAACCGCTTACTTCATTTACAACTGGAGGGTGAACACGAATGTATGCATCAAAGTTTTTAGTTCTGCACAGTATCTCAAATTCTTCATTGTTCTTGATTTTCTGGTGGGAAGATTTTGAACGCATTTTCACACCAAATGTTCCTCTCACATATCCTAAAAGATAGCATGCAGCTTCTTAGTTGGGAAGTTGAAATATGAAACAACCGTATTGAAAACTATCTAGTGCGTCTAAGAAAAGCACTAGAATAAACGAGATCACAACATGAATTAATCTCATTCTGAAGTTACAACAAACAGCAACTTCAAAAATCGTTTAGACGAGTTAAGGAAGAAGTCTGAGAGAGAATTAAAAACCGAAGAGCTTTTTTGAGCCTTTTCAAGAATAAGGGGCTGCAGGTAATTTTGTGCTTTAACGGTTTCTGCCAGCCTATATTAAATACCACTAAAGAATACCCGTTAGCTGCTGTTTAATCTATTAAATTAATGACTAATCAGTTGAATAAAGAACCTGAAAAGAATGAGCAACCACTTAAAAGAACGAGATAAGGAAAATCTGCAGTGTATGAAGAAAAAGACTGGCAGATAAGAGGAGTAAATGCTGGAGGACGACAAGGACAACGTACAGCAAAGTAATGCAAAGTAATTTCACTGTCCACTTTTCATTTCCTTTTGTTCTAAAGTTCTGGTTTTCTAGAAATTTCTCAAATCAAAGTTCAAATTTTTTACATTAGTTATTAAATCGCTTCCAAAGTATGGCGAAGCTGTTAAATAGCTTTCTTATGATTATAGGTACTTTTTTCATATTCAAAAGTTCAACAGTTACTAATTTAGTCCCAAATAAAAAAATTGTTGGTCAGTTTTTCCCGTTTAGCAAACAGAAGCGGTACTTTAATGGCTGTTTTAAAACAAGTGTATTTCTGAACGAACCAACAGAAATCAGTCTGTGAAATGAGAGGTCAAAATCAGCTGGCTTTCCTGACGTATGCCATATCATTATGAATCTATGTTATATGAGAAGTGCATCAAGTAAACGTTAAAAACTTGAACCTCATGCTAGTAGTGAATACAAGACAATAAAAAGGAGCATTTATTTACGCATCCAAAAAGAATAACTACAAAACCAAAATGAAAACAAAGGTGTAGGGTGCGGAAAGTTAAACAGTTCAACGAGAAAATGCAGAATGAAAAGTAGCCGAAAAAGATGAAAGAGTTTGAAACAAAGTACAAGAAAGTTTTCACGTGCGATGTTAAAGAGTACTGTGGTTATTTAGACCTCTTGTTTAGTTCATATCGTTCAAATTATGGTGATCAACTGGGCGATTGATACAGGTTTTAAAACCAGTTCAGTGCTAAGTTTTTTTTTTTTTTGTAAAGACCGAAATGAAGAAGAACGCGCCAAAAGCGTTCTAAACATGACACTTTATAGAATGACTACTCAACAGTTACAGACAGAAAAAAGTTTCAAAAGTTTCTGAAGCAGATAGACACTGATGGCGAAAAATTATTGCAGCAGGAATGGTCAAAGTCATAAAAGATCAGTCTTGAAATTGTTTTAACAAATTTCTAAAAAATTCTCTTGAAATTGGTAAGTAAAAGTGCTTTAATGTAGGATCGGAATTGTTTATGGAAGACAGTAAAGTTAGTTTAGCTGTTCAAAATGCCTAAGTTTTCAATTCTTGGTTTTTGATAGTATCTGATAAAGGTAACACTAGTACAAAAATTTTCAAATAAATGGTTTCAAAAATACCAACATCGGTATAAGGTTGATATCAAAGAACAAATTTTTATGTTAGACGATACATTCAAAAGTTAAAATAATCTTTGTTTCATATATGTCATTATTTTTCGTAACAAAACTATCAGATGTTGGCGTTAATCACTGATCTGCTGTAATAAATAATTGTTGACAGTCGACTATTTAAGAAAATTGACTAATGTCAGTATCAATATCATTTTTTTACATCTTTAAACAGTAGCCAGCATTAATAATTAACAGAGAATAAGTAAACCTAGAAAATAAAATTAATGAAAAAAAAAAGTGAAGTGTTTTAGATATATTTGTGAACAAAGCGATAGAACGAAACGCATTTAAAAAGCGTAGAAGCGTTTATTAAGCTGTATTTATTAGATTAATCCTAGAATGTCTATCCAGCTTTACGCAAAAAATTATAGCAGAAAAGCTGAAAAATTGATCTCCCAGAAAAACGAAAACTGTCACTGCCACAAATGTCAGAAAAA